AATGTTGGTTTTAGCCCAAAAAAATCAGTTATTCATAAATTTTTGGGTTGTAATTGGGCCGCTATATTGAAGAACCAGGTTCGGCCTAGCCCATGGTCATCAATTTCGGGCTTTGACATTGTCGTTGAAATTTTAAAAGACCTTTCGAGCGACATACTTACGGCCCATCACGTTGACTCTAGCCATGAAACCTGAATCCGCCACGATATCCCAGCCTATGAGAATATACCACGTCATCCTAAACAGAAACACGTGTACATAGAGATAAAAAAAATAATTTAAGAATAATTTTTTTATATTATTATTTTATATAATTTTATGTGTTATATAAATAATTAGTTATTTTTATTTGTAAGTTTTTTTATCATGTATCCTTGGGGATAGAGGATAAGAATGTACTTATTATATTTTTTTTATATTAATTTTTTGGTATTTGATAACTATATTAAATTTTGATTAATTTAGAATCGAATTGTGTCGGTCCTATTAGAGAAAAAACTCTCTCAGTACCTATTTTTTCATTAACAAAATTTAAACTTGAAATCTTATTTAAAGAGAATGAGTTCCTTTTACTTAAATCAACAAACTGTTAGTTTGCTTATTATAAATGTATATAAAAATATAAAACTTAATATTAATTTTTATATCAGATGAATTTAATTAAATAATCGATAAATTAAAAGTTAATTTTTATTTTTTTAATATAAATTTATGATAAAAAATATATATTTACTACATCACAAATTTTTTATTTATTTAAAACTCATAATATTAAATATATTTATTCAACATATAAAAAATTGTATAAAAAATAATAAAAATAATAATTTTGAAATAACTTTTTATATCATATTTTCATACAATTTAATATACCATTTAAATAATTAATTCATTTTATCTATATGAAACTCATAATAATAATATTCAATACATCTATTCATTTAATAATACATAAAAATTATTTTAAAAAATAATATAAAAATATAATCCTTACCACACTCTTATAAAAAAAAAAATTATCTCCGCCTTAGAGATCACAGTTAAAAAAAGAAAAATTCCACAGCTTTACTACCAACTAACACTAACCAAGATATTTAAATACACATATAAAAGATCGTCTCTCGTCCGCTGAGAAAAAGGAGGAAAGCTCAGAGCTGAAAACAGAGAAGCGAAAATGGGGAAGTCTCAGATCTGGATTGCCATGGCGGCTCTGGCTTTGTTCTTCGTCTCAGCTTTAGCAGACGACGTAGTGGTGCTCACCGAAGACAACTTCGAGAAGGAGGTTGGTCAAGACAGAGGAGCTCTCGTCGAGTTTTATGCTCCCTGGTAATTTCGCCGCTCGCTCATTTCTTTTTTTTTTTTTTTTCGGTTTTAGAATCTGTTTTTGATTCGTTTTACATTGCGATTGATGTTCGTTGATGTTTCGATCTGTGATTGCGGTTCGATTTCTATGGAGAAGTTTGAGTAAGTCAACTGATGGCTTTTCTGAATTGGTTTGTTACTGTATGGCAGGTGCGGGCACTGTAAGAAGCTTGCTCCGGAGTATGAGAAACTCGGTTCAAGCTTTAAGAAGGCCAAGACTGTCTTGATCGGGAAGGTTAGTTACTTTAGTTAATCATTGATCAAAGTTGATCACGATGAGAATTTAGGAAAATTCTGGCTAAAGAAAATAAAAGATTATAATTGAAGATAGTTGTTTTTGCTTTTTAGTTCCGATTCGTAATCTTTTGGTATTGTATCAAATTGTACGTATTTTTGGATGTTTATGATGCCGATTATGTATGTTATTTCGCACAATGAAGTTTCATGTGCCATTGGCTGTAGTCTTAATTTGAACCTTGAAGGTTGAAATATGCCTATTTATAGAAACCTTTGTGACATACCCTTTTTTATTTTTTAATCCACTTATGTGGTGTTAGGTGGACTGTGATGAGCATAAGAGCTTGTGCAGTAAATATGGGGTTCAGGGGTATCCAACAATTCAGTGGTTCCCCAAAGGTTCTTTGGAACCCAAAAAGTATGTGATTCAACTTGAGAAACAAATTCCAGATTTTTTTTTTTCTTAATTTCTTTCAAATTCTGTTGTTCCTTTACATGCTCTATCTAGTGCAGTCTGAGTAGATGAGATTTGGTCTTCATTATAGGTATGAAGGACCAAGGAGTGCAGATGCCCTTGCTGACTTTGTGAACCAAGAAGGAGGTATATCTTCTTCTTCTTTTTCTTTTTCTTTTTTTCTTTTTTCTTTTTTCCTTCTCAATCATTGAAAGAATTCCATCTTGTTACCTTGTTTCTTTGCTTCCCTCAAGATCTGCACATTCGGGATGTAGGTAGAACTTGGCTGCAGCAATATTGCACAATTAAAATGCTGGTTTATGAAGTATATTGGACACCCTTTTATTGGAATGATTCATTCTCTGCTCCATTTTTATCTCACGAAATACATATGAAATTATTTAAATATATGTTTCTGACTAAGACTCTCCATCAGCACTTCCTACTTTGTTGTGTAATCTGTAGACAATTGTTATTTATTGCTCTGAATGAGTCTTGGAGTGTTATTGTCTAGAAATTTAACATCATCTTCATTTGCTGCCATCTACAATATTTTAATAACTTCATCCAAAATAATCAATTATTTATTTGTATTTATTTTATAAATTGTAATGTACAACTAAGCCAGCAAATTTTCCTAAATTATTTTTCAGGTACTAAGGTGAAGATAGCCTCAGTTCCATCCAACGTGGTGGTGCTAACAGCTGACAACTTTGATGAGGTTGTACTTGATGAAACCAAGGATGTTTTGGTTGAGTTTTATGCACCATGGTAAGCATGCATGCTTTTTTTTTCCATTCATTTATGTTTTCTATCACTAGAGTAAAAGCAAATTCCTCAATTGAAACCTAGCTTTTGTTAGACCATAATTGCATAATTACCTTTTTGACCTAGATAAAGTGCCTTGCATCTGAATTCTTCAGAGTTGGTAAATTTTGCTCTCTTTTTTTCTCTTTTCATTCTTATCATTTTTCACTCAGTGTGTTTGCATTAATTTATTTTTCTGTGCTGCTTGTTACAGGTGTGGCCATTGTAAAAGCCTTGCTCCTGTAAGCATGCCTACCAGTGGTTATAATTTGGCATGATTATTTTCAAATTGGTCATCTATTATTTAACTCTCTCTGTCTCTCCTTTCTTTTTTTTTTTTCTTTTTTGGTGTCTGGACAGATCTATGATAATGTAGCAACAGCATTTAAAATGGAAGAAGGTGTGGTTATTGCCAATCTAGATGCTGATAAATACAAGGATTTAGCTGAAAAGTATGTCAAAATTTAATCTATGAGCTAAGTTATCCAGTAAAATGGTTTTGTCAATATGAAGAACAGAATCAATGTTGAGGCCTATGGTCTATGTGCAGGTATGGAGTAAGCGGTTATCCAACACTGAAATTCTTTCCAAAGGGCAATAAAGCTGGTCAAGAATACGAGGGTGGCAGAGATTTAGAAAGCTTTGTGAATTTCATCAATGAAAAGTGTGGCACTGGTCGTGATGGAAAAGGACAACTTACACCAAATGTTAGCTACTTATATATCCTAGCTGCCTTTCATATTGGTTTTAGTTTTCTTACTGCCATGACTATTTTTCTTCCTTCTGTTCAATGGTAGGCTGGTATCGTGTCAAGCTTGGATGCATTGGTGAAGGAGTTTATAGCTGCTGCTGATAGTGAGAAAAAAGCAGTCTTTTCCAAGATAGAAGAGGAAGTTGAGAAGCTCACAGGTCCTGCTGCAAGGTACAACATTCATTTTCTTTTTATTTCTGAATTTTATAGTATTTGATTGAAGTGAATCTCATCAATTCCTAGCTTGATGTGCAAACTTGTGTTGTCTCCTATTTTTAGATATGGAAAGATTTATTTGAAATCTGCTAAAAGTTGTTTGGAAAAAGGAGCTGATTATCCCAAGAAGGAAACCGAGCGCCTCCAGCGCATGCTTGACAAGGTAACTGTCCATGACAAGTGAAAGATGATACCATGCTCTAATATAATTATGATGCTTTTTCCTTAGGACATCTCTATAGTCGTGCACTTTGCATTTCCAGTAACTTACAAAAGAAAGAAATATCATGTAACACGTTTTTAAACCTTGTTTCCTCTTGTATTGGTGCAGTCAATAAGTCCAGCAAAGGCCGACGAATTCATCCTCAAGAAGAATATCCTATCGGCATTCGCTTAAGAACTTTGCTGTATTTCACTCATCTAATATTAGCTGAGGGTTTGATCTTCTCCTACTGTTATGAGGATTGATTTTTCTTCCTCCACTAGGATATGATGTTATTATTAAGTTAAATCAGAGCAGAAGTTTTACCAGCACCATATTTGTAGGTTTTATATGAATTTAATCACATGGATAATGACTTTTAATAGGCAGTTCATCATATTCATACCCTAATTTCCTTCCTCAATTTTCAATATAAGCATACTAATTTGCATGCCTATTTTTCTTGTAATTGTTTGTATTTAGCATTATATTCCCTTTATTGTTGATGAACAGCTAGGATACAATAACCCCTGAAGAGGACTTCGCTTCGGCAAAGACTGGTTCGGGTATACTAAGAACTCCCTTGAACGCGACATTCTTGGTCATTGACTGAGGACTTCATTGATGAGTATCGCACGTGTCAATTTTGGAGCTATTCTGGTTGGACCTGATTATGGACTTCAAGAAAAGCCCATAATAGGACAAGCCAGAAGCCTTCACCAAATGGGTTTTGGGTTTCCGCCTTCGACCCTTTCAACGTTTTAGAATTCACATTTCATCCTGGGAAAATATACCGATTTATTTGAGTAGTGATACGGACGACCAAATCTTGAAACCAATAATGTTATCATTAAAGAAGTTGTTGATCAATAGAAGTAAAAAAAATTAATTATTAAATAATATAAATTAATTTTTTTTATATCTTAAATAATATAACTTAGATCATGTCTTTAATCTCAAATTTAATCCTAAAATCCTCCGTTCGGTTTATCATTTTCCTTTATCTTGTAAAGATTCTTTAATATATTTTTCCTATTTCTCTCTCTCAATTTTATGATTTGTCTTCATCATGGTTTGTGATAATTTCCCAGGACCACCTCAAGGTTATTCTATAAAAATAAGAGAACGGCCAAACTCCCGAGAAGGGCACAAGATTGCATAGGGTGATGTTAAAGTATGTTATTTTTTAACTAACTAAACTGCAAATTTGATGAAATGTATCCAAACGGCATTCGTAGTCCATACTAGCACAGTGCCTTGGGAAGATGATTATAGCCCATATGGAACTACAGTTACCCCAAAGTTTGCTTTTCATTCTTTTCAATGTATTTTGGCCTAATTATTCTTTTGATATTCAATACTCATATAAGTTCTTGAATTTCTAAATCAAAGTTCTAGGGATCGAAAACCCATGGCTGGTAGCGCAAAATTAAGATCTCGTGTCAAATAATATGATGATTATTGCTACATGCCTATGTCAAGCAACAGAGACGACATTTCAACACTCGCACCAGCTATAGCCATTCGATTCAACTTAAAGCCAGCTAAGAAGAACACTACGGTCCCAATATACTACTGATTAGGGCAACGATTCCAAGCCAACCCTCAGCCCTGAGCATCGTAACAACCCAATCAACGCAAACAAACAGAGATTTATGAGGCTAAAAACAGGTGTTGGTAGTGGTACCTACCAGGACAGATGAGTACATGACACTAACTCGTCCATTACATTACATACAACCACTTGACATGGATAATACATGAAGATGCTAACAGCTCACCTAACAACAACACCCCATGTGGGTTAGCTTATCTCATGCTGAAATCCCCTAACCGAGACTTGATGATGGTATGCTTATTGGATTTTTTACACCGCAACTCGACAACTTACATGCAATGTCTATTCTATGGTATCCAAGTGAGTGCGCCCTACACTTTAAAATAAGAATCATTGGATGGGAAGACAATTTACAACATAACACCATAACGGATCTCCCCTCTCTCCAATAATTTAAGTTGTGCAGTCTAGTGCCGCCTAGACTACATATCACTTTTTTCCTAACCCAGTTATAAATAATTAAAAAAAAAAAAACCGTGGGATATAGGAAAACTGCCTAGAAGGCTTTGTGATTAACTAAGTAACTCCACACCACAACCCATGAACAAATAAAAAGAAGACAAAACGCCAATAGATGCCATCCTGTTTTTGCAGAAATAAAGCTCATGCAGTCTGGAAAAGCATCTCTCGATCAAATTATTGCACGGAAACCACATAAGGATAAGGGTATTGTAAATTACTATATCTTTAAAACTAGTTATAATCATTCAGATAATTCAAATACAAAATTAATCAGAGATAATGCTTAGGACGTCTAGATAATTAACTTCAGCCTCTGTTTCAGGGCAGCAGAGATGGTTCACAAACCAATCAATGTCAACAATGGTGATTCAGACACAGTTTCTCTACTATACAGAAGCAAATTCAACAAAAATACAGAGACTGTATTATGTAATTTAATCGTGAAAACCCAGAAAATTAAAAGAAGAAGCTATACAGAGTGATACGTACTTAGTTCATGTTCTACCCAGACGAGACTGGATTTAACGTTCTGGCTAGTCCACTAAGTGCACCATACCCTTTAGAGCTGAAAGCTAAGCAGCCAAAAAGGCCATGCCGGTATGGCAAGTAGGTCCTCTTCTTCATCTCCTCAGCTTGGGCCCTGTTAACCGTGTAGTGCAACTCGTGTGCAGATGGAGGCACTCGTCTTTTGGCTATGCCATTTGCTGGCTTCCCGGAGGAGACTTTTTTAGGAGCAACTTGTTTGTTTGGCTTCTGTTTCTGCTTCTGCTTTTGGGAATCGGCAGCATTAGGAGCAGAAGGAGCAGTTTTGTTCTCTTTTGAAGGATTTAAAGTAGGTGGAGTCGGTGGTTTTTTCTCTTTGGAAGGAGAAAAGGAAATTGACGACCAGAACTTTTCTTTCCCATTCCCTCTTCCTTCGCTTTTGCTTCTGTACAAAAGATCCTTCAGGAATATCCATTTCTTCGAGTTTCTGCCGGAAGAGGAGGATCTCGAGGACGACGCCGAACAAGACGGCGTCATTTCAGTCGACACCGCTTCACTTCTTTTGCTCTCGTCATAATCTTGCAGACTGTCCAAAATGCCTTGGCTAACTTCTCCTTCTCCGTTACCGCCTTCTTCAGGCCACTGAAACTCCGGATTCCGAAGCGGCGAAAGAGATCTCGCCTTTCTGTGTAGCGATCTGCTTCGAAGCTTCAGATCTCTACCTCGAGAGCTTTCTTGTTTCTCCAAATCGTCACCGTTTTGGTTCTCGGCCTCTTCATCCTCCACATCTAGATCTAACAATGGAGCCAAGATTTGCGGTTTCTGCAAGTGAGAGGAAAGCTTCATAGGCTTAATCTGTCCGTTGAAGAACAACTCGTCCGCAGAGCTCATGGATCCAATCACAGAATCACTGCTGGAGAACCGAGAAGAGAACTCAAAAGACGCCGTATCGCACTCAGATGACATCAACGACGACTCAGACGAGTGATACGCCACGGTGGACGCAGCAGAAGACAGCAATACAAAATGCATGGGACTGGCCGGTGCACTGTAGAAGTACCCGGCAGTGGTGCCACGACCGGGGCTGGAAGGTGCACTGACATAGGGAGTAGAGCAAGCAGAGTCAAGGTCTTCACTGAACCGCGCCGTCTCGGCAGAATCCACAGCGTCGCCATCGGAGAGAGAATCCGGAGGAGGATGCGGTTGTGGTTCAGTTTCTGAAGGGTGGTTATGGAGGAAGACCATAATGAGAGAGAGGAAGTGCGAAAATGAATTGAAATTTTTTGCTGAAAGAAGAGATTGGCTTATGGAGCACGCAATTATTGTGTAGCAGAGGGAGAGGGAGCACTGTGAGCGAGGAAAATGCACATGAAGGCACGCAGCACTTTCTCTTCTCTCTCAGTCTGTTCAGTGTCTGAGGATGGTTATTGTTTTGGACTTGTGGGTAATTTGATGATCCAGAAGGGAAATGTTTGTTTTTATAACGTCGATCGGTTTTGTCTTTTTCTCAGTTTGGTAGCTGAAGTTACCTTTTCGCCCATTTGAATCTTCACTGTATCTTCTGGCTTCCCCAAATTTGCCAGTTACAAACTTACAAGGTTAAACCCCAACTTCATCCCTCAACTATTGTTTAAATTCTCAAATTCGTTTTTAAACTAAAAATAATTTTTAATTTGATTTAAAAAATTTTTAAAGTAGACTCTAAATTAGTTCTTTTATTTAAGAGTAACTAATATATTTCATTATTAACGTGATATATGATTATCAAGCAATGATCTCTTATTGTTAAATAATAAATATATCAATTATTTAAAAAAAAATTAATTTAGAGTTAAATTTAAAAATTAAATTATAGATTTTTTTAATTTAAAGACTAATTTAAAAATCTATGTAATAGTTAGAGGAACAAATTAAGAGTTTAACCAACTTACATGTGAGTCAACTTTTTAACGTAGCTCTCATTTATATAGATTTTAAGGTTATTGGTATGTCATCTGAAAAATTTAAGAGTTTCAGTCCTTTAATAGTATGATTTCGGGAAATTCTCCTTTATTGTAGTAGATTTAAAGCATACATTGCTAGTTATAGGTTATTTCTATTTTAGGGCTTGTTTGGATTAGTTTGTAGGAACTTAAACTTTTAGACACTATTTATATTTTATAAATTTAAATTTTTTTTAAAAATTTATATTTTTAAATTTTTTTAACCTCAAAAAATTCTTAAACAGTAAAAGTTCAAAAGTTTCAAATCCAGACTTTTCATAAATTCGATTTTTATTTACTTTTCACTCATTTTTTTTATATCTCTAAAAGTAAAAGTTCTATTTTTCCTCTAATAAAAATTTAAATTTATCACTTATAACAGTACTCAAAAAATAAAAACTCTCACATGCCACATTAAACAGGCTCTTAATCATCTACATATTTAACAAAAATATGTTTTGTACATTGGATTAATCTAAAAATAATTTATAAAAATATATTATACAGTTTGAAATAATTTATAAGGAAATTTTTTAATATATGTCTTTTGAATAGAGATTAAGTTTAATTAATTATGGTATTTATAATTAATTTTATATAAATTTTCATACTAAATTTAATTAAAATAAAATAAAATATTTATATTTAAATTTTATTTAAAAAATATAAATTTATATAAAAAATTAATTAAAAATATTATAATTAATGAATTTTAAAATATACTTAAAAATACAAAATAGACAAACCCACTTATAAATTACATAAATTAAATTATTAATTTTTTTCTCATTTAATATTACTTCTTTCACAATTAATTTTTGTGAACTTCGATGGCATTTTAATAGCACTTGCAGCTTTGAAAGTGTGCTGGCAAAAGTGCAGGAAAATTATGGCTTAAGGTTTTTAGTTGTAGGAACAATTGTAAAAATTCTCTTGGAAAATTTTTCTATTTTCAAAAAGAAATCATTATATTTAAAAATAATAATTTATAAATTAATTTTAATTTATTAAATAATATTAAATATCAATTATTTTATTAGTTATTAACAACTTTAAACTATTAAACCCAATAACATTAGTATCTTTGAAAATAATACTAACAAATTTGTGTGATTTTAATAAAATTTTATGAGGCCATAACAATGCCTGTAAGATGCTCAAGTTTAATAAAACCTTAAGAATCAAGCTTTAGAAATAATTTTACAAATCTAATTGGCCAACAATTTATCGATATTTGTTTCAATCTTTTCAAAACAGTTATTAACGGTTAGTTTTAATTAAATATGTTACTTAGATGGTTCAAGTGTTATTTCTTTTCGTTGAAAATAAGAAATTTTAAGTTCAAGTCGCATGCTATCACATGATATATGAGTGGGGTAAAATAATGGATAGGAAATAGTTACCTTTTATTATGCAACTAAGATAATATATATTAATAATAATCAGTTATTAAATATTAATTATTAATTATTAATTTTGAAAAAAAAAATTAAAACAACCTAAATGTAGGTAGAGCATATATGGCCGATGGACTTGCAAAACAGCTTGATCTTAACTAGAGGGAAAATGATTACTCCAACACTTGAAACATGGTAATGAACCATAAGGTATGGAATTTTACACCGGATGATATTATATTATAAGGATAATTTTTTTTATATCGTATTTTAATATAGTTTTTACATATCATTAAATGAATGAATGTATTCAATATCATGATTTTACATGAATAAAAAAAATTAATTATTTAAATAATATGTCAAATTATACCAAAAAAATAATATAAACAAATTATTCTAAAATCATTTTCCTTTAACACCCCTATAATTGTAATTATGGTTGCATGTGGGGATGTCTCATGCATGACTTGTCGGTCTGTATGGATTGAGTTATGATTTTATATTGGTATAGCATACACTGCTATTTACACTAATTAATAATTTTTTTGGTATAGTTTATATTTTTTTTTCCAAATTAAATGGTTAAATTTAATATACTTGTCAAATTTTAAATTAATTAAATTAGCTAACTATTTTATAATTACACTTAATTTTAAACTATATTAAATAAATAATAAAAAATGCTTTTTATTCTTTTTTATAATTACAAATATTAAATTACATTGAAATATAACTTGCATAATTTACATAAACAAAACATTAAATTTAATGATTGATTTGATCAAATATAAGTTATAAAAAATTATTAATTATTGTAAAGAATATTATAAATTACACAAGTGTTTATTGATGTGAATGGTATGTATAGAAGAAACTAAAGCATGGAAAAAATTAGAAGGAAAAACTAAAAGAAAGGCATATTGCAATATTATTAAATGATATAAAATTAAAAAATGATATTTATCCGTCTTACCTTTTAAAGATTAAGAGAAAAATCATCTCAAAACTACGTTATTTCAATAAATTCTCATTGAAAAAGACTAAAATATTATATTTTTAAAACATGAATTAAAGTGTTTTTTATCATTCCCTGTAATATTTTATTAAAATTACATAGTTTTAAAATAATTTTCCTTTTAATCTCTAGAAGATAGCGAATAAACACTAATCTCATAAAATTATTATATAATAAGTCTTTATATAAAAATTGAGATAATATATTAAGAAATCTTAAATTTACCATAATAATACTATCGAATCTACAGTTTACTTTCATAATTACAAGAATCAAATCTTATAATATTCCTGTTATAATGGAATTGCATGCCCCAAAACTTAACTTTTTGCTTTAATATTACGTTTTGATCATGAAGAATAAAAAAATAAATAAATTTCAATTTTAGTCTCTAAATTTTATGTTTGCACAATTTTCAACCTTTAATTTTTTTTTCACTTATTTCATACCTCTCAACTTTTAAAAATACACATTTTTTTTTATCATTCTATTAGCTAATCTTTTAAATCTATTTAAATGAGTGCATCTATTAGCTAATCTTTTAAATCTATTTAAATGAGTGCATTTTTAGTTTCTAAATTTATAACATATGCATATTATAAATTTTTGTATTTACAAGTTTAAGAAGTAAAAGTTTTTATATATAAATAAACTTAATAAATTAATTGATAGAGAAATTAAAAAATTATTTTTTAAAATAAAAAGACTAAAAAATGATTAAAATAATTAGAAAACAAAAATGATATAAAAGCTTAAAATTAATGGATTAAAATGAACATTCAACCAAAAAAAAAGAGAGCAACCTTCCCAAAAAGCATATGGGTGCATAGAGGATAACAATGGCATTAAGAGGAAAGAGTATGGCGAGGATGGAAAGTGGAGAAATGAAAAAGAGCAAGGGACGGGATGAGATCGGGATGATGCAGGAGGGCAGTTGAATTGAAGGGGGAGGCCCTGCATCTCTGGTCGTCCCAAAGCTCATGGCATGTGATGTCATCACTCGTCAGTTCGGCCCCTATAAAGACGTGGCGGCACGTGCCTTCCCAATTCCCATACTTTCCTATTTATTTTTTCTTTTTATTTTTATTTTTTGAAAATTAAATTATGTTCCCAATGCCACCATTATTCATTTCAACTTTCCGGTTCTGATTTTATTAAAAAAAAAAAAAAAAATCCCTTTCCGCTTCTTAGCCTGGCTTATTATACTGCCACCATTCAACGGTAATTTTAATTTCATTAAGAATTTATCTACCATATATTTTTAGAGTGTAAATTAAAAAATATATATATTTTAATTTTAATTACATAATAAAAAATAATTATTTTTTATTTTTTATTTTATCTTATCTGTATATCATGCGATTTGAATTCAAAATTTTTTACTATCAATAAAAAAAAAACTACTAAATTATTTAAATTGTTAACATAAATTAAAAATATATTAAATATATTTTTTATTATAAATTTATATTAAAAAAATTAATTTTTAATTTATTAATTATTTAATTTAATTGATTTGATACGAAAATTAATATTAAGTTTTACATTTTATATATATATTTATTATAAAAAATACTTTTAATTTTCTGTGCTAAAAATACAAATTAAAATTTTTTTTAATTAATTAATTAATTTTTTATGTTTGTCTCAATTTAATTAGACTTAAAAAGTTAAAACATGTAAGTAATCATAAAATGCGCAAAATATGATATAATTTTTATTAAAATTATAATTAAAATTAAATATTTTAATATTTTTAACAGTAAAATCTTTTGATTTTTACTTATTTATATATAATGATTTGACTTCTAAAGTAAAATTTTAACACAATATGTAACCAAGAGCTACATGTAAAAAAAAAAAAAACTTAATTCACATTTATTTATTACACATTATGCTTTTTTTTTTTTTTAAGTTATCGGGTTCGAAACCCGCCCATAAAAAAAGGAAATGCACCTCAAAATAACAAGTTGATAGTTGACTCGAAGAAACATGTGCATTACACATTATGCTTTTATTAACCTTCTCAAAGAAAATTGAAATGTACAGTGCACTTCAATAGTCTCAAGTTCTTATTTTAAAAGTGAGAAAAATTAATAGAATTTTATTTTAAGATTTACATTATGTTATATTATAAAATAAAAATTATTATATAAAAAAAACTCTAATATTAAAAACTCATATTTTATTTAACAATTTTAATTATATATTTTAATATAATTTAAATTCCAAAATAGTCTATAATAGTCTATGACTTCTATTGTTGACAGAAGGAAATGGTAGTCATTAGGTTAATCTCTGATTTTTTATGCTCAACTTTTATACCAAGTTTTTTTTTTTTTATTTCACATTACTTGAATATCATACTACTCGAATTTAAAATTTTTTATTTTCAACAAAAAAAAATAATTACTAAATTATTTAGATCATTGGTATTGGTTATATGAAGCCTCTTTTAGTTTCTCAACTTAATTTTTTTTTTTTTTGTTATTCGTCGAGATTATTTTCCCGTCCCCTTTATAATCCCTCCATCACCAAAACACATTTTATCCCAACATCATGATGCTGGCAACACTGGGCTCCGGCTCCACACATGAGACATTGGGCCTAAATCAACCCAATCCAATGGTAAAAAAAACCGGGTCCATTTCCAGACAGTGTCTGACGTGGACGAACGTATGAGGAGAAAGGTGGCGTTTGAGTTGCCATTTATACAGGGAAAAGAGGTAGCCGAACTCCACCGTAAAATCCTCCTCCAGATTATCGATTCCAGCCTCTTAGCGCCGCCACACTCATCCGCGCCCGGCGCTTCCCCGTTAGATTCTTTATCCGTTGCCATGATCAATACCTTTGCAGCTGCAAACACAGCTATTGTGATCCGTTGCCAGTCGCCGCAAAAGCTTAGTTTCCGATACGTTCCTTCCGCTGCTTCTCCCAGAGGCATCGGTGTCTATCTGTCTTCACCGGGAAGAGTAAGCGGTTGTGGTAGCCGCATAATAGCAACAATTCCTGTTGCTATTAGAAGTGTATTTCTCTGTTATTAGTTGTTAGCTTACCTTGAAACCTTATGCAATTGCAATGCCATTCCTCTACCTTGAATTAGCTTAGTGTGATAATAATTTCCTTTTTGAGAGAATGCATATATGCATACAAAATTGGTCTCTGCATGAGTACCTTGTTTAGTTTCAAATGCAATAGACAAATTAATCGGCTATGTGATTGAGGTAAAAGACTTGTTGTGTTTCTAAAATATATGTTGGGTTTTCTCGGTTCTATTGTATTGCTGGTAAAGTCATTGATGGTGTTGGAACTAAACTCGAGCTTGCATTTGAAGCTGGAATCCATGAAACCATTGGGATTGATTTTGTAATATTTGGACTGAACCTTGCATTTTTGTATTTGTAATTTCTCTGCTAATACATACATACATACATCTTCACTTCAGGTTGCGGTAAGTGTCAATGGCATGTTACTTCGTGAGCAAAGTCATTATTTCATCATGTGCTTTTAATGGGGACGGTGAATGTGGTATGAAATGATATATTGGCTCCTGCATGAGTGTGCCACAGTGGAACACGGAGATGATTGAAACTCTAGAAGAAGCTTGCCTGAAATTCCTTGGGAAGGATGAATTGATGAAATTGGAGAGAGAATAGAGGTATTTATTCTGTAGATTAAGTTTCCAGCTATTGTTCTTGTATAGTTGGATTGATTATGGCCGCAGAAAGCCAGAAGTTAAGCTCATACTTTCTTTTTTTCTTTGCTTGTAGAAGTTCATCTACAATTATTCTAAATTGGGTTGGGATTAGGGAAACTGCATTGATTATTTGATTGGCACTTTTTTTGGTTAGTTTTGTGCTCATACATCAGTTAATCTTTTTGATGCTCTTTAGGTTCTGTAGGTATATTATCTAATTAACTATTCTCATTGCTCATCTCGAGTTTAATTTATTTTTGGTAAACATCTAGAGTTTATACATTATACCTTAGCGGAAAACAAGCATTACAAGGTGTTAACACTGTCCTTTGTGTCTTCAATGAATTTCATTCCAGTCATGCTAATTAATCTAAAACAAAGTTTGCTTTGTATATCATTCAGATGTTGTGTCTGATGCTACTTAGTAAATACAATTATTCAATTTAGATCTTAAACGTATGTATTGTCAATATTCATGTCATGGCAATTATACATCTTATCTTGGGAGCGAGAGGATGGTTGGAAGCACATCTTAATTAGCATAAAAATGGAAGTTAATTTCCAACATTGCACCCAACTTTTTTTTTTTCTCTTTCAAGGTAGACATTCTTCTGAGAGTTAAAATTTTAGTTAATTATATGATAAACAAATTTGTAAATATCCTTATGGGTGGGATGGTCTAAGCCGATCAAGAGTACCTGTGAGGGTTGACCAAAGCCTATTCTTTTGCTGCTGTTATGCAGACTGTATCTTGTGGTTTTCACAATTTCATTTTTATTTTTAAGGGGTTTCTATGGTGACTATCCTATTAGCTGTTGTGCTATGCCCCTTTTGTACTTGAATAGGGGGATTCTATCTGTAGGCCCAACTTCATGTGTTCTATTACTGCAACTCCTGATGGCCAAGCTTTGACGGGCCAAAGTTTTGATAATTTATTTTTTCCTTGTTCTAATGAACTTGCAGCAATATTACTATAGGACTATTTCATATTTGATAGTGACAACTTACAAGTCATTACTCTTTTAGCTTTTCCATCAGCTCTGATTGTCTAGTATACCTCTTGGATTATATTCAACTTAAAATATGCATTGTTTTGATCTCTGTTCATTCATCCAACTTTTAATGCAGGAAGAAAAAGACAATAAATTGATGCCAAATGACACATACATGCACGTGGTAGTTCTTGAAGTGCATCCTTAATGCAATTTAGCATGAGAGGTAAGAATTACCTTATGCTCCATTGGCTCATAGTTTATTTTCTGTTATCTGTGTTTGCTTTAGTTTTGCTAGTTGCTACACTTTTGGATTTAATAGTCACACAGCTAGTTGTCATGTTGGGATCCAATAGTTGGCTAAGTTTTTGTCTGAATTTGTGTCCTAGGTTTTCCCCATTATTAAGTTAGGCACATTCAGGCATTTTAGCAACATAAGTTGATTCGACATATCAAACTTTGTGCGGAATCAACTTGCGGTCAATAACTTCAAAAATTATTTGCCATGAGTTTTTTGTTTTACAGTTTGGTTTTGCAGTCTAGCCTGCAAAATAAGGATGGATGGGGGAGTGCCCCTGATATTAGGAGCCCCACCACTTATCCAATGGTTTCTGTTGTGCAGTTTGGATTGCACAATAGTTTTCTTTTTTTTTGAAGGTGCACAACAATTTTTTTGATTTACTATTAATTGAAAAAACTTATTGAAGTAAATATTCAATTTTAAGAAGTACATCACGGAATTCACTTGAGTAGTTGAAATAATGAAAATTCATGTATCTTGCATCTACTTCTCGGTAGTATTCTCTTTTGTTCAATTATTTTGAATCCTATCTGTTTCCTATTCATTGCTTATAATCTTAACATGCCTTTTTAATGTTGTTTTCACCCATTAAGGCTTGTTAAGCAGCTAATGCCAGACAAAAAGCTCCCCTCTTGTTTAATTCTTTCTCCTCTTCGTTTAAATTCTTTTTGTGCTACTTCCCTCCAATTCCAACTCAATTTTTGTAAGAGAACAAAAACGATATTCATAAGTTTTGCTTGCATCATTTACAGAATCTTGTCCCATGCACAAATTTTCAGTAAAAATCCATCATGAATTCTCCTAGAACCAGAAGGCTAGAACATTACATATCTTGAGTTTTTCTTTCCTTGATTTTATATGTATCAAGGCATTTTTGCTGGAAACTTGAGGCCAAAATGAAAATTGGCATTTCTACAAGAATATGATCAAGGAATTTCATATTCCAGCGGTTAACAATTCTTTCTCCTTGTTCTAGGATACACTACACCTTCCATGATTAAAAAAGAATATTTGATGATGAGTAATATAATGGATGATAGTCTTCCCTTTCTCAAATTCATCTTCACTCATCTCAAAGTTTAAACTTGAGATCTCTAAATGTTCAATCGTTTAGCTATTAGGATGTTGCCTAGTGAACCAAAGTAAACAAGAACATAATATGTCCTAATATGCACAAAATTTGGAAATCAAATTGTAGGTTTTTTTTTTTTTTTTTGCATAAGTGTAGTTTTCTTATTTATAAATTGGTAAACACTCAAAGCCTTAGGTATTTATACAAAAAAAGCTGCAGAGTCTCTACCAGAATTTTATTTGAATTCGTGGCTTTAGATGCAAAACGTACTAGTGTCTGCTTGGAAAAAAGCTGTTGGAGTTGCAGACCCAAAACTGAGAGAAGAAACAGAATACATGTAGAAGAAACGAAGCAGATTTTGGAATTAACTGGCGCCTCTATTCAGCATCTCAGTGTATTCCAAATAAGAATTCTGTCTCTCCAACTTTATTTGCTTATAGAACTCGGCTATGAACTCCTCCGCCCTTGAATCAATCTCTTCTTCATCTGCAGGAGCCTTGTCTTCGCAACAGTCGTATCCACATTCTTCTTCCCCTTCATCTTCCAAGTAATTGATCTCCCTCTCACTATCATACCCATTAGCTTCATCGTCCCCATCATCACCAAAATCATACTCGAAATCAACTTTCTCTGCGCTTATGCAAGGGAATAGGAACCGCATGGAGGCCGAACGGGGCATCTTGACTTGGAAATTGGGAGTCTTGTCAAAGGAGAGCTCACGTTCTCCATAATGGATTTGATGACGAGGAGCTGTGTGTCTTAGGTTCTTCAGGTACTTAGCTCCCAGACTAAGCTCAACTGCGAGACGTCGCTTGAACACACCTCCTTTTCTCGCCCATAACAATGCCAGCTTCAGAAGGTTACATGCCCTATTAAAACAACTCTTCTTAGTCATTTTTAACGCACAAGTAATAATAATGCTCCAAAATGAGAATGGAAAATCTGAGAAAAAGAGAAAAAGGTAAAGACCCTTTTTTGTTGGGGTTGTTTGCCGTTGGGATTTTATGATGCTGGGGAAGAATGTTGAAGGTATGA